CGCAGCGCAAAGTTTGTGATTGTTCTTTTTTGTAACAGCTGTGTAATTCCTTTACCAATTTTAATTTGTATTTCAGTTAAAGAGAATGCAAATGAGCATCCAGCAAGGAATGTAGAGGATTCACCTGATTTTGGCAATCTCCCGATTGTCGTTTGGATTGGGGTATTGGAATATTTGTCATTTAAAGACAGATACAGTGCATCTCTGGCGTGTTCAAACATTTACAATGCATTTAATCACCCCACACTATGGCAGAAAGTAAAACTAGATGTAGGGGAAGCTCAGGAAAACACAGATACTTCCACTTTGTTAAAATTCCCAAAAGAAATTTTCATCTCGTTCGTCGATTTGCAAAAATGTTCCATGACGTTACCTTTTGTATTTGGGGACCATTGCATACATATTTCGGACAATGGAACACTGTTTTAGAAGACAGCATCAAGGATTTTAATTTGGGTCATCTAACATTAGACGTAGGTGGTTTGAGAAATATATCAAATGTATCGGAAATGAAAACTCGTACTGAAAATATGAAGCCTATGGTAGACTTAGTTAGAAATCAGTCGCATTTAAAGACTCTTATCGTAAAGTCATGGCCAGTATTTGCTAAATCCTTACAGAATCCTGATGAAAATATATTTCAAGCTGCTATTGAAAATGACAAAATTAAAGATCTGAGAAAAAATGCGAGTCCACGGCTTGGTCTGTGCGTAGACCACATTTAATTTCATCAGAGTTGACTTTGAAATTGGTGGATCATTTCAAGAACTTGACACATTTAGCCTTAAGATCGCCTATGATCACGTCAGATCTTATCTCGAGTTTATCATGTAGGGTTAGAGAGAAGCTTCAACAATTAGATGTAACAATAAATTTTATTCCTGAAGACGAATCCTTCAAAATGCCTGCAGTGAATGAATCAGTTTGGAAAGATTTCTCAAATTACAACACCAACGTGAAAGTGAAAGTTTTGGTTTTGTCAAGAGCACCGCATTACAAACTAGAATGTTTCCTAAGGCCTTCCTGTCCTCTCTATGAAATAAGGTTTGGAGAGTATATCAGAAGTGACAAGGAATTTATCTCTTACCTGGCAGATTCTTTCAATTCGACACTGGCTACATTTGAATACAAAGAAGAGGATGGAGATTTTGAAAGAGAACTAGTTACTCTTGTGGAAAACTCAGACCAACTATGTAGGTTAAAATACTGCGGGAAAATCAACTGTCAGAATGTTATACATCTAGCGGAACTAAGAAAAAATAATTGGGAGTCGTTTCACTTGATTAGAAAGAACATTTATAAAAAGAATGTCGAGAAGAATCTGGAAATGACCAATGACAGTGACCAAGTTATAGCAAAAAATAAGGACGGAATGTATGTCCTTGTGGATCTAGTGAAATTTCAAGAACAGGTTTCTATGTTAGACCATGAAGAAGAGGAACAGATAATGATTGAGAAAGTGTCGGAATATTTGGGTCGAGATTGGTTTCCTGAGGAGTTGGATCAATAGTCGATGTACAAAGATTAATGTTCTGTTCAGGAAATATTAAGCATAATGGCATTAAAGTAAATTGTCTAATGTTTTATGATATACATGTACACCATTATATGTAGTCAATTCATTGAAGTTTGAGCTGTATATAAGGAATACTGACTTTTATATTTTATTTTTATTATAGTATTTGATCTGAAAAGTATTAAGTATTTGATTTGCTCTCAGTTCATTGGAAATATTTAAACTGAATATTTCTGTCTCATAACAAACATTTTAAAAAATGTTACAGTAATTTATCTAAATTTTAAGATGTATGACTATAACACTAAATATTATTTTCAAATGTACCTCATATATTAAATTCTATGTTGAGATAATTAATGATTGATCGTTCTGTTCATTATCTTTTTTTTATGACTACCCGGTAGAAATTAAAAGAAAGCTGACATTAATTGGATTAAAAGCAATGTGTAAGAGGTATACAATTACATGTAAGATTTGCTACGATCAAGATATATTAAATAATAAAATGTTGTTCATCCTTTCATCTCAAGTTGTACATGGTAACAAGTATAATAATGTTTTTTTGTCCATTCTTTCAAATATTTGAAGGAGTAATACATTTTTTAAAAAATGTCTTACTATAGAAATTTCATAATATACAAGCATAAGTAATAAACGTTTCCGCGCCCCCCCATTTTTCTTTTTTTTTCTTGGGGGGGGGGGGGTCCGAAATATTTCATAACCGTACATTTTGAAGATATCTGAGAAACATCATGGTTTTTTTTAAAAGCTTTATCTATTTGCGACTAAACAGAAGAATGGAAACTAGGTTACCACAATGTTGTTTTTTAGATGAATATGGCAAAATACATCACGTCAGAAAAGTTCACCCGGACAGTTTCCTTTGTTGGAGTGGATGTACATGTATATATATTGCATCTAAAGTTTGTACGGAAATTATCTACAAGAAAATCATTGTTATTAACGAGAAACATGCAGGATATGTACTGCATGTTAAGCAAAAAAAATTCAAAATTATCATTTACATTTACACAACTTGAGATTTTTTTCTTTATTCCATTCTTTTTTGTGCACATTATATGACTCCATCTACATGTATATTCTTTCCCAGCATTAGCTGCAGAACTGTAGCTCTCTACTTGAGAAAATTCGGACAGATAAAGCAGAGAGCTACAGATCCAAGCGTTGTAAAAACCTTCGATTTACGCCGACGATTTTTTGTCGCTACTTTAGGTATTTACTTCCTGTAGTTTAAGCTTTCTCTTGCTCCTAGAATAGTATCCTATAATAATTCATATATACAACTCTTATATTTGATACTTTGTTTACCTTTTCACGGTCCCAAAAAGTCCTCATATACGAGTTTTGTAATGTCGGTTTATAAGAGTTCCATTTTGAAGTCCGTAACCACAAACAGCCATTTGTAAGCGTTGAGGGGTAAGTAAATGATCAGGAATTGAGGCTGAATGTATGATTAATTATTAAATACCATTTAAAACTATTTTCAATGCTGGGGAAAGTATAAAATACACGAAAAAATACCCATAATGTGCGACAAAAAATCGTCGGCGTAAATCGAAGGTTTTTACAACGCTTGGGTCTGTAGCTCTCTGCTTTATCTGTCCGAATTTTCTCAAGCAGAGAGCTACAGTTCTGCAGCTAACCCAGCATCACAACGAATGAGGTTTTGATAATAAAAGTACATTAAACAATTTTGAAAATACTTATAATTTAATAGCCGAAGAATGCAAGAGTTTAATGATGAAAATAACGAAATATTCAAAATTAATTTTAAAAAATTCTCCAGGGGAGGGGGGGGGGGCGGGGTTGTTACAGTCGTCTGTCCCTTGTGGATATTTCGGCATTGAATCAGATTGTTGGTATAAAGGACATAAGGACAAGTATAAAGGACAAGTAATTATTTTTCCTGGCATTGTGACTTTATTAGATAAAATCTGTCTGGAAATATATAGCTACATTTATACATGTAGTTCAGTCATTTGATCAGTGCACAATTTAATGGCTGTGCAATTTTAAAACTTAATTTGTGTGCACTTTACATAAATCTTGTGGAAACCAACAAACACTGGGAAAAAAAGAAAAATGGGAAAGACCATAAATTTTTAACCCCTCCCCCATTAAACAAAAAAAAAAAAAAAAAATCACATTGTGTAAATGCCCCGCTTCATTGTCATTTATGCATGTAAGTATCTACCTTGTAATATAGCGTTTTGTTTGTACTGCCTGTCTCGCTAGGGATGTTTTTATTATTTTTTAAATTTATTTTAAAACAGTGTTCTGAATTTTAAAATACTATACTTTAAATCAAAATGTTTCTTAATTCTGTTGCACCGAGATCAAAAGGAAAACTTTAATTTTGATAGCTGTTTATTAAATACATGTTTGTGAAATACTGCTTATATGTTTTTTAAGTCTTTATCTCGGCAGATTTAATTCTTTTGACAAGGTATTTTAATAAGTAATAAATATAATATGTAACTATTTTCTATTTGCTCAGCTGTGTCAGTCGACCCTATCGTACATTTGATTTGGACATTTTAATCTATGAATGGTTCGTTCTCCTATTACAAATACAGAAATAAAATGTGGCGTGTGTTTTTAAAAATTTTATCTAACTTACTGATTATGATCAAAAATATTCCTCAAGAGAGACGATCAAGTGTACATATTCATCAATCCTGTCCGTACAAGATTCATGACTAATGTACAAAGGTAGATAACTGGTTTTGGATATCATAGCTAAAGATAGGTTTCTAAAAATAGACATGATCTTGGAATGTAAACAAACGTCCATACATCGGTATTTCTACAGCGAGAAATAAGACGTAAGTTTCTGTTTAATCCTATAATTATACTTTTACTTCATAATTGTATATAGTTTGCAGCATTTTATTTATAAAATATTACTTTTGTATTTCCTTTAAACATGTTAAATTAATATTTTATTTTGTACACACAGAATGTACTTGTTTCAATATACATGTTCAGACTCGGACTGATTTCTCCTCAGGATGTTATTATTTTTTTCTATGTAAAATTGTGTCATATTGCTCTACGAATTTCAAAGTTACATATTGTTTTCTTATTTAATCTGTTCACCAGGATAATTTTGACAATGCATGATCTCTCAATAGTCATTATAATACACCTCAGAATTGTTTCCAAATGTCAGACATTGCTGCCTCGTAATTGATAATGTGCCAGACAACTGTACTTGTTTTTGTTTTGTATTATTTCCGCAGACTTGAAACGCTTATTAGAAATGATTAATGGAAGCTCACCGGATCAAGATCAAGGTGTACCCGACTTCAGTAGGCGCACTTGTTTCATATGCCGGGTCAAGCCGGTTAATATTCCGGAACCGGGCAAGTCACTTGTTTCAAATATATTTAAGCCGCCGGGCGGTCAGAAAGTAGCCCGGATCGCCCGAAAAATTTCGAGCGGCCAAATGAAAAGCAATATGGCGGAAAACGGAGGTAGAAATGTTCTTGATGGTGAAACATTCGTTTTTTATCATTTGTCGTAGTCTCGGTGGCAATAGACAAACACAACTGAGATAATAAGAGACTTTTACAACATATTTGTTTACATTTGCACGACAAAAACATTTTATTTTTAAATTTTAAGCTGCTTTCCAGTTCTGTGGTTAACGAGACCCCTTATATGCTCCAAATTCACAAATTGTACATAGAATGGAACTAGTAAATATTAAAACGAAATATATCCACTAAATCGTTGTTCTCATGCGTTCAGATAATTTGATAATTTTTTTTACAGCAACAGCACAAATACCAGCCAATCCGGCTTATTTTTCACTCGTTTCAGAGACACTAACCGGGTCAATATGCCATGTGATAAAAGTGAACCGGGTCATCGCCCGGCTGTCTGAAACAAGTGCGCCCATTGACCTGCCCACAATTGTTTGGGTCAACATCTTAGACTACCTTGACCTAAATAACAGGTACCATGTCTCAGTCACCTGTTCAAGACTTAATGAAGCGTTTAATCATCCTACTTTATGGCGGAAAATGAAATTATTCGTTCTGGGAAACAACGAAAATTATGGTTTTTATAATCAGGTCGTGATACCAACCAAAAGCATCAATCTTGTCAAACATTTTGGAAAATATTTCCAACATTTAACATTTGTTATTAGTGGACATTTGGATCAAGACTTTGGTAACTGGAATGATCTCGTAGAGGAAGTTTCTAAAGAATGCAGACTTGAAACGTTAACACTGTACGCAGGGGTTTTGACGTCAATCCGCCATTTTGCAGGGAATCGATCATGCAGTCGAAATTTGAAACCTCTTGTAAATATTGTAAAGAATGCATTTCGCTTGAAGAACCTGAACATTGTCTCTTGGCCCATGTTTCCTCGAAACTTGGAAAATCTAGATGAAAACATCTTCGAAGCAGCCATGTTAAATCCTAAACTTAAAGATCTGGAGCACATGAGTTTGTTTTGGTCCAACACAAATGTATGGACAGAAAGACAACCGATCCTGCTTTCTCCCAGGGAAACAGCTGACTTTGTCGGACATTTTAGTAATCTGAAACATCTAGCTCTGCGTTCTCCTATGATGAACGAGCAGCTCCTGGAAGTTCTATCATCCAAACAGAGACAAACATTGAAACGCCTACAAATACTCGTCAATTACATACCAGAAGATCCTGATTTCGCAATTCCTGAGATATCTGACAGGGTTTGGGAACGTTTTTGTTTGAAGAACGTTGGTGTAGAGGTAGAACTAACTGTAATGTCTCGAGTCCCTCTAGTGGAATTTTCAAATCTGTTAAAACCTTCTTGTCCAGTTTCTGTCACGAAATTTATGGCGTATTCTCGTTGTGACGAAAATGTTGTACAATATGTTACAGATAAGTACAAAAACACACTGAAATGCTTCGAATCATTTGGAGAAGACACGGCTTTTGAAAACGATCTCGTAAGCATGGTGGAAAAATCGCCAAACCTTCTTCAACTTATATATCGCGGAAGAATCAGTTGCGAAAACGTAGAACGGCTCGCAGCGCTCCGATCTAATTCATGGATGACCTTTGATTTTTTAAGGGAGAATATATATGTAAACAATACAGAGGATCAATACGATGAAGATCAAGTGATTGCTAGAGGCCCGGATGGAAAATACGTCCTTGTGGCGATGCTCAGGTTTCATCAGAGAGAACAAATGGAACGAGAGAACGATGTTAGGAAACAAGAAATGATTAAAACTGTGTCAAAGTCTGTCGGATATAAATGGATTCCCACGCCTAAGAAAATTCAGCAGGTGGCACAGAATTGAAAATACAATGTATGATATTTATAGGAGTACGGGTTTATTTTTTCCGTAAAGTTCGTGGAAATATTGATAAGGCAAATACTGGAATGTGAAAATATTATTTTTTAAATTTAATTCATTTTATAAATATGCAAGTTTTTATCACGAACAAAGAATACTCATATCCGGAGCACTAAAACGAAAATCCTTGACATTACGTCAAAAGCTAAATACATGTACATTGAACTTTTTTCAACATAGTCACCGTTTAACTCAACACATTTCTTATTTCGCTTTAACCAGTCATAAAAATGTGCACAACCTGTTCTGGTTCCATATGTGAAATAATATTAAACACTTCTTGTCTCAGATCCTGCAAATTTTTAAATCTCTGTCCGCGTAAAAACATCAATACAAGTAAAAATTTATATATGTACATGTATATTAACATATTTATAAAGGATCATTTTTCAATAGTGCAGGAAGAAATTATTTTTGTGGAAAATTCATCAGTAAATGAATAAAAATGCGACTCTAATATATCTCAGAGAAATTCCATGTTGTATGTTAATCTGCAAAATAAAAAAAAGAATTATTGTCGAGCGTCTACTTTCTTCATATTCAATTGAACATTTTTGAGTTTAAAATAATTTAATCTATACGCGAAAAAAAAAAATCGGCTACAAAAGGCCATAAAAGAAATGTGATACGATATCATGCAAGCATTTTCCCAACTTATTAAAATTACTATATATTTTAAAAAAAAAAAAAATCTACACACCTTTGGAGTGGACGCCTTCTTCCCGGAGGGTTCTGTAATTTAGATTGTCTTGTCCACCACCTGTGTCGTTTACGTTCTCCCTGCGCAAGACAGCAAAGATCATTGTTTCTTTGTAAATTAATATATCTCCTAAATTTGTTGTAACTTTTCAAAAATAGCTTGCATTGAAGTAATGTACAGTATACTAGTACATGTATATTTTTGGCTTGTATATTATAATAGTTATACGAAAACCCTACCTTGTCCCGGTAGGAAACTGTTTACCTAAAATTGTAACTTAAAGTGTTTTTATCATAATATACAAAAATAAAAAAAAGGTTTTTTTTGTTATTGTGAGCAGTCGGTTATCAAGTCAGAAATGTTAAAAAAAAGCAACAAAGCATCACAAAATGCAAAACATTTAAATGCATTCATGAAATGTTTCTTTATCAAGATAATTGTTATATTTTCCCCTTTTTTTCATAAAATCATTTTCATGTAACTAAAATATTGCTTAACGCATTCAAGCCTACAAACCTATATCGTCAATTCTTCTATGGTGAATAAAAATAATAGCACCGGCAAGGATGAGCATCAGTACAAAAATCCCGGTCACGGCACCAAAAACCCCGGCACTGATTCCAGCACTAGAGTTGCTAGAAGTTGGCTTAACTTGGGCTAGAAGGATTTTTCAAAGATTAATCGACGAAACAAACATTAAATACCATATCATACGAGTATTCAGGAAGTTTCTACAAATTTTCAAATAAATATATCAGGTAGGCCTATATGTTTTAGTTAGTCTTTTTTCTGACAATGCACGAAGCATACACATAAAGCTACTACATGTACAGTAATTAGTACAGACATTAAAATATTAATTAAGATGAAATTATAATAGTAACGTTTTTGTAAAATATCAAATTGGATATTGATTCTAGAACATGTTACACCCTTCAAAAGTCTTACATTTGATTGTTATAATGGCTTTAGACGAATTTTTATCGTAATTTCCCCACTGCGATTCGCTTCTTGCCCGACAGTAACATGCAGTGTTGTGGTCTTTCCGCTGTGCAATTATAGTCAGTGCCGACCTCGAACCCGAGTGTTTGATGCCTCTCGTCTGCAGTTTGTTGTCACAGTACCACAGCCACGATACAGGGGGGTTTCCAGCAGAGCGCAGGGAACAGCTCAACTTGACTGGGGTATTCTCGTCAACAAAATAAACGGATTTATCTATTTCTGGTAAGCCATCAGGGGACGCTAAAATATGATGTCATAGAATGATAAACCTTAAATCAATCATGGTTTTTTTTTAATTCCGTTGCATGGTTTTTTTTAAATTCCGTTGAAGAAGAATGGGAGATAGAAATTTTAACCCACCTGCAAAAAAAACTTATTTATTGTAGTAAAGAGAGTTGCTTACAATATACAGTAAGAGAGATAGTATTGGATGCAGCTTCGTACTGTAGAGGGTAACTTTTCGCCACACAGTAGCAAACTTTCCCATTCAGATTTCTATCAGCATCAAGCACAAGTTTTGACGTCGCATTAAGGTTATAAATTCTTCTGTTGTATATATAGGCTCGATCGCACTTCCATGACCATCGAATGGGAGGGTTTCCCAGAGAATCGAGTGTACACATCAGGGTGATTTCATCCCCCGCCGATACAACTGTATTGGAGGCATTCAGGAAAGGCACGTCTCGTGGAGTATCTGCAAGAAAATAAAGAGATTTTATGATTTTCTCTGCATAGCTCCATTGATCGAAAAGCAATAGGTCATATTAACTATTGACTATTTTTGTATCGACTTTTGTCTGATAAGCATATATCAATTAAAATTGTTTAACAGGCGTCAGAACATGGAAAACTGAATGTATTACAACCATGCGACTTACATTTGACATTAATCGTCATGTGATTAGACATTTTGCTGTATGTTTCGTTTGCAGATCTCGGCCAGACTTTACAATAACACGCCTCACCGTTGTATTTCCTGTCCGCGCTAATCTTCAAGACAGATTCCTCTAATGTGCTCGTTGCATTCCTGGTCAAGTTGTCATTTCCACATTTCCAAGACCACGTGACTGGAGAAGAATTTGGGGATGAATGGATTGTACATTTCAGAGTGATGGGTAGCCCTTCTGTTACGTTGTTAGCACTCATTTGCAGCCATGGTGCTGCTACTGGATTCACTTTAAAAGAGGTTTTAAAAAAATTATATACCTGAATATATAATTTTAATATCAATCATCAAGGCTTGTTGAGATTGTTAAAATACTACTTTCCTTGCATAATTCGCAAAAATTGATTTTAAAAGCAAGTTTTCTAGCAACTGATTTTAACTTACCAATTAACGTTCCACTTACTATTCCAGATAACAACACAAATAGGAAAAAATGTAACATCATATTTAGAAATCGGTTATTCAACTGCAGTATGAGGGGCGTCACTTTCTCTTTTTATTAAAACACTGTCTTACTTTCGTGGCAAGCAACTGTAACTTCTAATTAGTTTTACTGATATGATGTGGTTTTAATCTCCAGCGATTGCATACTATCAAAATGAACTCAACATCATGTACTTATTATGAATATTAAATAGTGTGGCAGTATATATAACAAGGATATCTGTTACTTCAATTACAGAATCAGATTTTGCATAAACAGACAAGTAATGTGTGTGTGTGTTGTGGGGTGGGGTTACCCCAACTTTTGGCAACGTACTTTGATATTAAAATGTTCATTGAAAGTCTGATTGAACCCCTGCGCCTTTTATTTTATCATAGTTAAAATGACAATTTAGTAATGTGGTACCGGGGTAATATTTTTTGTTGTGAAAGATGGAACCTTTCCCCACTCAAATCAACCCTCATACAGAAGAATTTTGAGATTGGATTATTATTCCTCATTCTTTTTGCTTTTATTTTCTCTGTATACTTGTAAATTGTGAAAGTTTTTGCTACTCCCCTCTTTAAAAAAACGAAACTACATAATTTTTAAATATAGGCAAATAGATGATGTAGTATATATATTTGGAAGCTTACAATTGATTAAAGATATATATGTCGTATTGGTGTTTTATTTTTAAAGAAATAAATATATGTGGTGTCTCATTAAGTTATATAAGTTATATACTTTCTGCAAATAAGACAATTCCACTCCATCACTTTCAAAAGTTATAAAATATTATTTGGTAAAAATTATTTTCTCTTCTAGTCTGATGTAAAAAAAAAAAAAAACCGCCTCTTATTGAAATATTCATGATCACATTATCTCGCATGCTCACAGCAAACAATGGTCTAAACTCGTGAATGAGCCGAAAAGCATGATGGTCTACTACGGTTTTTTTTTTTACTACAAACACGTGGGTTAGGGAAATTTAGGATGAGATTTCAAATAACTGCTGGAAAGCCAATTTACAATTTTTTGAAACGTGTTTAAGAAAAATAAGAAGTATAGGTAGGGGGTTCAGGTGACCCGACTTACCTGTGTAATCGTGCCATTTACACACAATTTATCGATGTTTATATACGTAATTTTTGCCTTATTATTCATATTTATCTAGAAATTAAATATAATGAATTTTTTCTACATTGTTTTAACTTTCGTATGATGTGTGTGTTATGTCATTCTGAAAAGTTTGCATTAAAAGTTAACCCGGTTGAAGTTGTGCTAAAATTGGATACAGGGTTTCCCCATTGATGCATGGCACTGTAATTTTGTCTCCGCGACGTTGATAGCGTCATTTTGACGTCATTTTGATTGGCTTTCCGGGAGGCGATTTTTAAGAAATTTACGACATTGACCTATCACAGGAAAGCTTACATTTTGAAGATCAACATTATTAATGTTGCATCTCAATGCAATGTGCAGAAGTTTATGTTATGTATTTTCGTTTCAAAGGAAAGAGGTCAATATTACTACGGTAAGTAATCGAAATATTTTTATGCAACATACACTGTTAGAAAGCTGAGAAAATTTCCTATCTGAATATTGTGGTTCTGTAATAATTTCGGAAAATAATTCACCCGGATTCCAATCAAAAGTCGTCACCCCGACGCAACTTTTGAACAGTTTCTTATGTACCTTTAAATTCATGCACACTTTTTTATCGTAAAACCACAAGAGAAAATAGAAATGTGACATTAAATAATATTAGGATCGACTTACTGGAAAAAATAATCTATGAAAAATATTATAATTTCCTACAATGTACTACACATAAACAGGGACCTTATAATATACTAACGGTCCCTGATATAAAAGTACAAATTTGATTCTGTTGCCAGGATTTCATCTAGATTCTGAAATACATATAACGTACTTATAATAAATAAATAGCCCGAAGTTCTTCTAGGCCCTATAAAATCATTTATAATTTTCTTTGTTAACATGATACTTTGTGGTTATTTTTTTTTCAGTGAGTGTAAACAGTCAGACTTTGGGAAAATGCGAGAATCATTCCATCATGATTATGGTACTCGCCGGTAGTAGCAGATGTCTGGATAAACTTAACACTCAACTTGTCCAAGAAGCACGGATAATTTAGACTGAATATACAATTATTGATTCATACCGAAATTTGATATCATGTATTTTAAAGATTGATCAACACAAATTTTAAATAAAGTTGTGAATTAACTGTAGTGAATTCTTTTTTCCCAATCTTTGCCATTTTCATATTAATATTGACAGCTTTTGTCTTTGTGATATCCAGACAGAATTCTGACTTTTAGTGAGCATATTTGATTAAGATCGCCATTTTATAAATCTTTTAAAATAAATAAATTGTAAAGATTTATAAAATTTCATTATTTTTTTCCTAACTTAGATTTTGAAAGCATTTTATCAAAAAGGCTGTATCGGCCATTTTCACTATTGGTGGCCATAGTGGATATTTTGCTGCCATCTTGGATATTTTTTAAGCTGGCATGGAAACAGAAAATTAGGGCTTGCATAGACCTTTCCGAAAATATATAGTTTTCCATACTTCCAAATAAAATTAGACTCGTTACATAAAAATCTACCTAGACTTATCGGATTTTTCTTCCTTTCATGTGCCATCAGTAGGTACTCTTTAATAGTGAAATTTTCTTACATAAAATACCAGTATTCACAACATTGATAATTTCATAACTTCTGTTCTACTTGGAATTTTTTCACCAAGTAAAGTTTTTTATATTTTTGAATGTGTATATGTTTGAGCTAGAATATATTTATTTGAATATATCTCATCGAAAATTTATACCTGAACCCTAGTACAGGTACTTATTGAGAATTCTAATGCTCACATTGACAAACAAATTCAGTTTTCCTTATTAAATAGTTCTTTGAAATACCGCTCACAAAGTCTCCACAAGTAAATAAGACTCCAGTTTTTAAACTCGATACTCGTAAATTTGCCATGTAACTGGCTGAATTAGTTGTTGCTCAGTTATTTGTTACTAGAAATTAAAAATTCACGCATGTATAAAAAAAAAAGACTTAAGTTGCACGTTTTTTTAAATAACCTCTATATAAATTCTCATGTGCATTGATCGTAGAACGTGTATTGTGTAGCATAATGTATGTTCCGAAGTTGTATACCTTGTAGACATCGTCAATACGTGAGCACACCTCAGAATTGGTTGCTTTTTGTACCGAGGAATAGTCACGTAAAATTGACTTTTCACTGACAGTACAGCACGGGGAAACTGTAAACAAACGGACTTGTACAGTGGAGTAGGGAAAAGTTTTATCATTGTTAGTCATTTGTATGTAAATGTGAGCATGGGATTAGTAGATAAGAATGAACATTAAATGCATAAAGCGTGTAAAATGCTTGGAAAAATGCATCACCTCTTTCCGAGAGCGATTTAAAAAAACTAGCCTTTTCGAAAAAAACACATGTTGTATTTTATGGTTTTATGTACTAACCCATACATGCATATTTGGCCTCCTTAGCGTAAGACACAGAGACAGATGTGCACGAGATTTGCATGTATATTAGGCCTCCTTAGCCCCTGACCTATGAACCTGTCTAATTTACATTTCGGTAGAATTATCAAAAAATCAACTCCGCTTACTTTCAAAGAACTATCACAGGGGAAAAAAATGTATGTGGTTGCAGTTGCCAGTTCCTAAATATCTAGAAAATGAAAAAAAAAAACATATTACATAAAGTTTAGAACTTTTTCAAAATCTAATCTTGAAATTAAAATAGCATCACATTAAAAATTATAATAACGCATATGCTGTATCTTATGTTATGCGACTTTCATTAAAACTTAGTGAGGAGTAAGTTAAATTTAACGATTATGTTTAATTTAGCAAGAAAGCAGAAGACATCGATGACTGTATGATTCTTTATGATTTATTTTATATACGTTATTAGATATTTGCAGGTTTGTATAACATTCCAAATTAACAAGGGTTCGTTATTAAAATTACATGTATTTCAACAGTTATATTGACTTGAAATTTTGACTTAAGTCCGTTCTCTGTTTATGGTCTTGAAGCAAGATGGGTAGAATATAAAATCAACCTCTAAAAAAAATAAGGGAAACGGACCCCCCCCCCCCTTCTAAAAAAAAAACCCAGCAAATTGGTAGAAAGATTTTAAGGTATCCGATAATAGCCTCAGATTCGATGAATTTGAATGCATAACAGATATATATATTTGCCGAATATTCAGTATTTGTAAACATAATCTTTATGTTTTAGTTTTATTATGTAAGAGCGGAATGGGTCCTAATTTTTAGGCCCTTGACTCATCTTGGAAGAGATATCCCCTTTCCTTTTAGTCAATAAAATTCATTTTAAAAAAATCCACCTGGCAAAAAATTATTTTTTAATCATTTTTCTATTCTTAATAATTATACATGCATCTTCCCACCATAGGATTTTTTTTATATTCATAGTATTTTAACTTTTTATTTGAGAAAACGGCTTTCTCCAACAGACTTCAACGCATTCTTAATTAATCAATTACTGCTCAGGTCATTAAATTTTTGAAAATTTCTCCTGGTAAATTCTTTTCTACTCTAAACTGCTTTCAATTATTTTCAGAGTATTTAATATTGGATGGATATTTAAGACCGTATCCCAATGATAGCAGCTATATTTCCCACGGTTGAACCTGTAGAAGTACTTGCTTTCTCTGAGACCAGTGAACGCGCTATATTATCCCAATTTTATACAGTGTATGAACATGCTTTTAAACCGTATGCAAAGGTTTGAAATTTGACAATAGAACTTAAACTTTTATCATGATAGTGACAGGTTAAAATCATGATCTTGGTTTGCAATTCAAAAAAAATTTTATAATGGACAAGGAAGTGATTGAAAGTGATTAAAATGACAAAAATGACCGAGAGAACTGTCAAACAACGTTCTTTATACTTCAAACAAAAGTAAAAATGTTTTGAATGCAATAAAATATCCATAAAGTAAAAAACATCCACATGAAGGAAAGGCATCAAATGCTGAAATTTTGAAGTTAAGCTCAATCATTTTTTCTGCTTCTTTTTCATCCGTATATTTTG